GATCACACTCTTAATCTCATGGCTGTTAGACGGGAAATGAAGTTGCAGTCTTCAGTAGATTTTATAGCATACAGGCAATTGAACAGATATATCTCCAAACGCATGCGGCGGGACTTACACAACTTTAATACTGCTCGTATTGAAGAAGCGATCGAGTGGAACCGGGGCTTCAAAGTCTTGGCCAGAGATCTTTCTACCAGAAAGTGCCAACTGTCGAAGCTGAATACCGAATGTGGCAGCATCGTTTCCGAGACACCTGGGATTTTGAGTGAGATTGAAAGGTTCTATTGGCAGCTGTACACGTCATCGTTGGAGCCAGACGTAAGTGTGAGTAACGATCCAAGAGCGAATCTTATCCGACACTATACTGATAATATCCCAGACGTCAGTCGGAGCGAGATTAGAATGGCTCTTCAGCATCGTAAAAACAGCAAGGCCCCAGACGAGGATTGAATTATAGCGTAGCTTCTGAAAGCGAGCGGAAAACCGTTACTTGAAGTCCTTCAGAAGCTCTTTAATTCCGTCCTCCACGGTAGTACTAAAAAGGAGGCATGGTGCAGAAATGCGGTGGTCTTATTCTTCAAGAAAGGCGACAACGCTCTCTTGAAGAACTACAGACCGATTTCCCTTCCGAGCCGCGTCTACGTGCTGTTTACGAATCGTTTCGCACGCAGACACGACAACCTTCAGCCTCCCGAACAAGCTGGTTTCCGAAAAGGCTTTAGCACCACAGACCACATACATACCCTTCGGCAAATTGTACAGAAGACCAAAGAGTACAATCTGCCACTTTGTCTTGCATATGAGGACTATGAGAAAGCCTTTGATTCTGCAGTCCCATCAGCGGTACCAAGTTGACTGTTGGTATATCGAAGTGCTGAAGTGTTACAGTCGGGCTACGATGGCTATCCGAAAAAGAACCAGAGTACGAAACCTATCCAACTGCAGGGAGGTGTAAGATATGGTGACGTAATATCCACGAAACTTCACCGCTGCATTGGAAGACGTTTTCAAGCTACTGAACTGGAAAGGATACGGTGTCAACATCAACAGCGAATTCATCACTTACCTTCGATTTGCCTACGATATAGTCCTTTTGGCAGAATCGCTGGAAGACCTAAGCATTATGCTCAATGTCCTCAATAGTGTCTCCCAACGGATAGGTCTTACTATGAACATGGACAAAAGAAAAAATCATGTTTAACGGCCACGTCACACCTATGCCGGTAGTTGTTGGGAGCACTAAGCTCGAAGTTGTTGACGAATATGTTTACCTGGGACAAATAGCCCGAGTAGGTAAGTCCAACTTCGACCGAGAAGTCAATCGACGGATTCAACTCGGCTGGGCAGCGTTCGGGAAACTACGACACATCTTCTCGTTAGACATACCTTAAAACATGAAAACAAAATTGTACAACCAGTGCGTGTTGCCAGTGATGACCTAAGGATCTGAGACATGGTCATTCACTGCTGGCCGTATAAGGAAGCTCAAAGTCGCTCAGCGAGCTATATATATATGGTATCGTGGTTAGATATGCCCTTTAGTGCACCGATATATATTATATCTTAACGGTAACGAATACAATAATAGTAATTTTAAAATAATTAACTATTCACAAAAAAAAGAATCACTTGTGGTAATATTATATATGGGAGATGACAGAAAAAGTCAGAAGTTAAAATAAAATAATACATACTCTGCCCGCATGTTCAGGAAAGCCTGTGGTTGAATGTACTTGATACCCTCCGCATTATCACAGGCAAGCCGAGCTAAATTAGTTTTCCTGACTTCGTGTAATTGGCCTGTAAATGAAAATGCTGTTTTTTATTTTGTTTGCTATTTAAAAATAATTACAGTTTGTTGAGAGAAAACGGTTTCGTTCCGGACGTGAACGCGTTATACCGATATTTCACCCGGATTGCAGTGATATCGTCAAATTATACCGGTATTCACGATTCAATCACAAAATTAAAGAACCAAATTCTGTAACAGGATTATTACATATTGAACATTGTGTGGCAACTCACATTTAGTACTTCGCAATGCATAGATATAGCTCTTAAAAATATTAGTATTATATTTAAAATTATAGTGATTGAGTAATACCATCTGACTGTGAGTGATGAGTAGCCACTTCCAAATAAAATGATTTCCAGATACATTGTCATAGTCGTAGACATTATTCCAAAAACTATATACAATGTATGGGAAAACACTAATAGAACATAAAATGTGTAGTATTATAATTAAGTAACATTAAAATATCATGAAATTTATTAATAATTAAACTATGCATGCAATAATTACTTCTTACAAAATTCAATGTAATCATTCACTGTATAGAAACGTTTCTTCATTAAAAACATATTAAAAACTTTATTTAAATAAAATATGCAATTTAAGATATTGTTGGTCAATAACATGGGATCAATGTCAATAAAGTTCATTGCTGATAGGACTCCCTTGAATGCATCATAAGTGGGATATTTGACACGCTTGACAGACGGGAGTTGTTGTTTTTCTTCTAGTTACCATTACTGGTTTGCAACGACTCCTACGGAACGATATGTGGTAGTGAATATTCTGACACGGCCACTACACAGCTAGTTAAGATGTTCCTTAGTACGTAATTATACTTCTTCTTTATCTGCTCATGAAAGTCTACAGCTGGACATGGACCTCTCCCTTGTAGAGAGAACTTGCCTTAACCGTCACAGTCGGATTGAAGATCGTAATATAAGACGTGGACTTTGACACTGCTTCCCATCGCCGGTCTTTGTATTTAACGTATGGCGTGAACGAGATATTTTTATTAGAATAAGCACGACTATTTTTTATAGGAGAAGGGTGAGAAACGAGCACACAGTCCACCTGATGGTAAGTGGTTGCTGCAGCCCATAGACATCCACATCAATACTCGATTACAAATCAAAATGCAGATGCGTTGTCACCCGTGAGGACTAAGATGAATGCCTCATTTCCAGTAAAAAGAGTCTCCGGTTCTCTACACTCACCATACGAAACACAGCAGCGTTAAGCTGCTATTTTACGCTGGTACTCTGTGAGAGCGTGGTCCTTCCCCGGTCGAACCGACGCATTCGTGCTATAACTATACTACTAATATAGCTGCAGCATGGCTCTACCACGTGAAAAAAAATTACAATCAAAAATTTCATTGGTGCCGGCGGGGATCGAACTCCTACTGGGACTCTGATATAATGTAAGTGTAGTCTAATGTATTGTAAACTTACGCAAAGAAAAGCTATGTAATTGATCTCCCCTTTCAAACCAGAATCGATCTCCAAAACTGAATACATTCATTTGACGAGCCACGATGCAAAATAAAGTTGGGCCAACAAAAGTATCCTTAATAAAATTTTCACTCATTATACCCGCGAGCAAATCCACATCATCAATATCTTCATAGAGATGTCTTATCATCTCCACTTTCTGTAAAAGATACGGCATTTGTATCACAACATAATTATAAAAGTATTTGTAACATTATTTATTTTAATGAGATCACTATGCAGCCAATTACGACCGAGTATTTAGACTTCGTTATTTTAAATTAGGTAACTATAAATTGGAAGTCTCTTTGATCATTAATTCGAATCCTTGTTCCTTTATTTCAAACAAAATAATTTAATTAATATTATTTCCATCTATTTCAGAGGCTTCTCTCAAAGATTAAATCATAGGAGGAATATTTGCCACATTTGTAATAGGGTTACAATCGCAGTTATTTGTTAGTAGGCGGGTTATAGTGTCATAAGGAAGTTGCTGCTGCCCATGTCTTTGTTCATTCTATCTTTGTCGCCCGCGAGATATTAGTGAATGAACACAACAACTACAAGGCTTATTTAATTTATATGTATATGACTATTTCTTGATGTAAAAAAAAATTTTTTTTAGATTTGGAGCATAGTCCTTTAATTTTTTTTTTGTACGTTAGGTCCTGGAAAACACATTGGCTGTGTTTTCCTTTGTTCATCTTTCGAAATAATATAATTTTCCAACCTCCGCGTGGGCAAAGCTTCGTTCATATTTTATAAATTGAAGTTTCAGAATGCAAACTGACACAAATGTTTTGTATAATTAATAGAATCTGGCAGACAGTGGTGTGTCTTGCCTAGTGTGGTGGTGTTGGGAGTGGCGGTGCTGGGATTGGTGGTGACGGGGATAGTGCACGCAATCGAGGGAGGGCAGGAGGTGCTCTTCATACTAGGTAAGACACATCATTTTATTTTATAACGCGGATATTTGCGAAATAAAATTTTTCTAAAAGCTTTTACAAATGTTTTGGTTAATTTTCAATAATTCCAAATTATTAAAATTATAACCAGGGAAGGTCCACGCTCCCACAATACCTACAAATATGATGATTAACGGAGAGCCTTTAACGAGGAATCACTATGCATTTATATGGTCATAATCATATATTATATATAAGTTATTTTACTTAAAATTTTACTGAGTTGCCACGCCCCTACCATAATGTGTAAGGAATTGCCAAACAAACATATTTCTTTTTTGCACGCCTTATAACTCGAAGCGTTATTAGGTAGTGTATTATTCTCGAAACGTCAAGGTCAAGCAATTTTGTGTTCTTAAAATGTTTCTATCAAAACCATATTCCATTTATACAATAATATGAGTAGCCGTATATCAAGAAAACACTCTAATTAATCCATCTTATATTTTCTAAAATATCATTTAATATTGCAATTTTGAAAAAACAAATTACGTAAACGTTTGGATGTTGAAATTGACGTATGGAGACCTGATTTTTTATATAAGCTTCAGAATTACATCAACTAGTATCCTGTTTGATATCAATAGCCTAGTACGCGTACTTTACCTACACAATTAATGTATACATTATTTAAAATCAATGTCCAGATAGGCACAGTTTGGAAATTTTATTATCTTTATTAATAGATAATGACCACCCTAACACTCGCAAAAGTAACACATTTAAAACAACCGTGTTTAAATATTAAGGTGTAATTATCTCAATGTCAATTACATCAGAAAAATCTTCAAAGGTCTTGGCAGCTTTTAGACCACATATGCGCCTATATTCATTATATCCTCCAATTCCTAAGTCTCGGCCTCTTTGAATATCACTTGCGGTGAGGTCGTGAGCCTTTTGTAAGTGACCAAAGTAATGCTCCGAAATCTAAAAATAATAGCACTTTTTATGTTTTTGTAAATCATAATAAAAATATATTGTTACTATATTTATTTCTTCCAGTCAGATCAGTGTATTCATTTAATAACTGTATTTAACCTACTTTTGGATCATGTATATCGTCCATTTTAGCTGCGTTCTGATAAAATGTTCCACGATTGATTTCTTCAAAATTATTATTTTGCTCTAAAACATCCTGCCTATATAAAGGTGTCACTATAAGGTAATTCATCAACGTAGTTATAGTTTTCATTGTATTTCCTGAAAAATTTAATTTTATTTAGAGCGCCAGATTTTTTCCATTCGTTCATTACAGCATATCAAATGTCCACTGAAAAACATATATCCACCCCATAGAGCGCCTCATTTGGGAGACATTTGTCATAATTGCCACGCTTGGCATCGACAAAGGTGTGCTGGTTTATTTCCCGCTGTCACCTCTAACGACCGACTCACGAGACGACATGAGAGAGTGGATATCCTTACACCGGCACTATACTAATCTAAATTTATTTATGGGTTTTTATTTCTCCTCTTATGTTTGTATTTATTTTAAGTACTCTTATTACTTGATTCTTCCGTTCAATAACGTGTGAAAGAAACGTGTTTCTATCTCGTACTCGGCAAACACGATAGGTAATGCGTCTTCATCGTACACATTGACTTGCTGTATGCGATTTGATATTAAGCCATAATTAATCATATTTCTATGACCTGAAAGTAGAAGATAATTATCAAATTCATAGGTCTGTCACATTATTAATGTTTTTTTACAAAAATAAAGGATGACAATCTAGCACATAATTCACCTGATAGTAAGCGAATACTATATCCTATAGAAATTTACATCTTTAATTTAGTAATAATCATAATTCAGACGTTTTGTTTACCCTGAGGACTTCAAATGAGTGCCTAGTTACCAGTAAAAAGTGTTTCCTGGTTTTCATCACTCACCAGGTGAAAGACAATAGTATTTCGTTGCTATTTTATCATATTATTCTGTGCGTGACCTATGTCGTGTTGCAGGCATAATGCGCTACAATACCACATACAAAATAAGTAAACTAAGAAAGATTCTTACAGAGATTGACGAGTATTTTCAGAAAACCGTCATGGCGCCATTGCATTAGATAATTACAAAGCTGTTAAAACCAACACTACGATGACATTGAAAGAATATTAGTTTTAGCACAATAGCTGCACATACAGCTATTATTTCTATTTCTAAAAATATTATAAGACCCTGATAACACCACAACCACTCAACAAAATTTCATAGTTGTTTCATACTCGTTGAAATTTGTTATCAGCTTTATGCAATTTACAGTTTTTTTATAAAAATAAATGTACAATATTTTCTTATATACAATATTAAAAACTATTGTAAAAAAGAAACTAGTAACTTAATTATCATACAGTCCTACTCCCCTCGGTATCGTGCCAAGAACGCTGGTTGCGTATCCCCGCGGAATAGCTATAATTACCTCTCTCCCATGGGACCAATGTCACACCGTCAGGTCTCTTGCCATCGTCTCTAAATATTCCACAAGGCTCCAAAATCGAGGGAACATTTATAGATACAAGAGCCCTTCGGATGACATCGTTCAAAGAAACCGTGCCGTGAAAACCTACCAGCACTTTTCTAACCACAGGAGCACTGATGGAGTTGACGGATTCCTACGGCGATGCTTAAGCTTTCCCCATCAAGTAATGTGCAGATATTACTTGGTGGTAAAGCGGGTAACTAGTGACTAGATTCCTTAGTCGAATCGACTGTTTCTAACTGAGGAATCTAGTCGCCTTCAGCCTCTTCTGACTGAAGGCGTCCCTTACCTTGGTTACTATGGAAATTGTGAAACAAATCTTTCTGTACGTTCTGTACCAACGGAATATCCCACTGTTTTTTTGGTTAACTTCCAGTTGAACATTTCGGCGGGAGAGCGTTTGCCATATCTGCCCTACCTCGGAAGCAAAGCACAGGTCTACTTTATTACTTAAAATTATGTTACATAAATCACTGACACTATGCATGGGAGCAGGGAAAGTAGCTTGAGTCCAGGCTATTGTATTAAAAGTTAAATTTATAATATTTTTCTATAGCTATTTTAAGATTATTGTCAATAAATTTTAAAATATAATAAATGTAATTTAAAGTTTAATAATTTTTCTCAGTTTCAACATAATATCTGCAAGGTAACATAAGTTCTAGGGTCCTCGAGAAATTAAAAGAGGGCACAGTTTCTTATATTATTCAATAATTAATATTAAAAGATATGCACCACTATTTGAAACCGTAAAGTGCATTAATTTACCGAATTATACGTGATTATCTCACCTAACAATACTGGTAGTAGTTCATACATATATATGTTAGCTGCTGTAGCTATATTAATCTGCCTAGCAACCTTAAAAAGACGGTCATCTTTCCAGCATGGATTTAGTTCGTGCAAAATTTTCGCCAGTCGGTTATGTTCTCGCATAAAAAATATTACTATGCTGGTCGTTCTTAAATCGAAGCTAACTGTTTCAGGAAAATCTATAAAATTCAACGTGTTAGTATTTTATTGTTACAAAATGTTGTTAAAAATCCGAAAATAACTTACCAAAAATATAGCAATTTGTTTCGTTCTCATTTTGAAGATATAAATGCTTGGTAGTATTAACCAAGGGTACTGTGCGGTTTTTCTTTCCTCAGTTTTCAACAAACCATCTTCCCATTTTCGAACCGAATTCATTGATTTTTCATCAAATCCATAAATTGTTGATAAATCTATTACTGGTGTCTATAGGTTAATCTAAAGAAATTTATTCAAATTAAATTCAAAACACAAACGATGAACAACAAAGTGTCTTGAGTGACAACCTCGTACCGGTAAGTAAAATGCAGGGCGGTCACCCACTATATGGAGTGACGATTCTCATTAGGTAGATATGCAAGAAATCAATAGACACAGTTGGTTCAGGACTATGCTTTGTGGCATTCCTTGAAAGAGGCCTATGTTCAGAAGTGGACTTGCCATGTACTGTAATGATGATGATTTCTTATAAGGAAAGTAAGTTTTTTCGTCAAAGACCATATGCTTTTTCACTTTTTTAAAATGTGTACGAATTGTAAATGGTTTCTAGCTAAACTTCAGAACGTGCAATGAACCAAAAATGACGGCTAAATTTAAATTAAATTACTTATAACTAATTAGGTCATTTATGATAATAATACTACTTAAAAACTATGTATGTAATGACTCTACGATTAAAAATTAATCTTCAAAAATTTACTAACATATTTCGGGAGCATCGAGTTGGAAACACAACCGACGTCTTGAAATGTTTCCGCACGGGTAAAGTTGAGACATCGTATATCTGTTACTTTAAGATAAGGATCGTCTTCGGGCACTTCTATAGGCATGCAACGCGAACCCTTTTCCTCTAACGAGTGACAGCAATCCTGGCCTTTAGTAAGATAATCCACTGGAAAAATCTCGATGTGTTTTGTCTGATTTTACAATACATAAGGAATACAATATAAATTTAAATTCAATAACATCAAATTTTGTTCCTCAATACAGGGCAGTATAACTAAGAGTGTATAACTTATTTCCAGATGTTCTTAAATACATAATCGGCGATTGGTGCTGCTACTTACTGCTCATTACAAAAATCGAGTGTTTAATAATATTTTTATTAACATTATCTTTTTAAAGGTAAGAAACAATTTTTTAACAAAAATTTAAAGCTGACTTCAAAGAGCTAAACAGAATAAAATACTTTCAAATTATGACCTCGGTGCTTAGATATAGTGTATAAAAGCAATAAAGCCCCGACTTAGAATGTAAAATTACTTTATTCTTTTTGGTTATTTGAAGTCGAAAAAAATACATACAGTTGAACATAATACCTTTTCCTTTTTTGAAGTCGGCTAAAACGTAGATATTTAATTCTTAAATAATTAAAAATAAAGTTGAAACCTATAATTGTATGTCCAACAATAGGACACATTCATTCATTTCTGAGAGTTTTAAAACAGTAAAAAGTCCACTGCACCGCGCTCTTTCCACTGCGCGTTGGATAAATTCACGATTCCTCGGAATAATTTTAATTATTTTTTTATATTTTTACATTTTTTTTTATATTTAATTATTTTCATTCACCGCCGAGCACGATAATCTAGCAACAGATTGCAATTACCATTTTCAGTGGTGTTGGTGATTATCATACTTAGGTTGCTCACGCCCTATAAAATTTAATTGATTATGGAGAACGCCCAACCCCTGAGCTATCACGTGTTTTAAAACTTATAACATTATTTACTAGTGACCGTAACCGTAACTTGTTTAGTTACTCGTTTAAAAACAAATATTATATATTCAATCTTACTTTGGTCAAATAAAACGCTGATGTCTCTGTGAATAAATTCAAGGAAGTGAACAGTTGCCACGTTAAAAACAGTTTTGTCTGTCACACGCCCGGTGCTCTGTAAGGATGTTCTCACTCGTCGCGGAGATGGCAATGATTTTCCATTTTTACTTTTCTTTACATCTCCATCTATTCAAATAATATTAAAAAATATTTTACAATTCTCAAATACCACTGGCACTTTATGAAAATTATCTGTTATGATTTTATGAAACAAATTTTTTTATGTTCAATACAGTATCATACATATTTTATTCTTTAGACTTAACTGACGACTTTGCTATCTTGAAATCAAATTTTGTAACACCGTCATGACACAATCGAAGATTATTATTTAATTTATTTAAAAAATTATAATATTTAACAAAACAATATGATATTACAATTGATCAAGGGACACATTCAGCGGACAAGTTGACCAGGGGAGGATCTGCTGTGAAAGCCGTAGGGCTGGTGCCAATTATACCAATTCCCTTTGGTAACGTCCGTTTACTTATACGTAAACACTTTACTAAATTTAGAAGACTGCAGGCAAGAAAGGGAGGCCACACCAGCAATAAACAGTAACTTAACCAAGGTATTAATTAGACTAAACAAACCACTGATAAGGATAGCAACGAGTGCTATTACAGGGCACTGCTTTTTTTAACAAACATAATGTATTATATTCACTATAGGTGTGACAGACATTTCTTTGTGCAGGGCATGTATGAAGGAGGAAACGGCAGCCGGCCGTAATTACAGCTGCAGCATTTCATATTTGCTCTCAGAGGTTTGTTTGTGCAACATATTGGTAACCTTCTTTTTTAAAGTTGGCTGCAGGTATCGATGGGCTGCAGT